TTTTTTCAGTTTTGGCGAATTTTTCTGCATGAATAAACAAACACCAAATAATTAGAAAATAACACACGAATAAAAGTGGCTTATGTGATTTTTTTTTTTAAATTGTCTTTAATGTAATTTATTGTTTATTATTACTATTATTCCAATTTTGGCAATTTATGCTGTCTGAATAAGCAAACAAACAGGAATAACTAGAAAAATAGACAAATGAAAAGGGTCTACTTTATATACAGTTGAACCAGAAGTTTACATACACTGTATAAACACAGAACCTTTTTTTCCTCACTGTCTGACATTAAATCAGACTAAACTTTTCCTGTTTTAGGTCAGTTTGGATTACCAAAATTATTTTTATTTGCTGAATGCCAGAATAATGAGAGAGAATTTTTGTTTGTTTGTTTTTTTTACTGCTTTCTTCAAAGGCAGACGTTTACATACACTAAGATGCCTTCAAACTAATTGGGAAAGCCCAGATGATGATGTCATGCCTTTGGAGGCTTTTTATAGGTTAATTGACATCATTTGAGTTAATTAGAGGCACACCTGTGGATGTGTTTTAAGGCACACCTCAAACACTCTGCTTCCTTTTGTGACAACGTGGGAAAATCTAAAGAAACCAGACAAGATATCAGGAAGAGAATTGTGGACCTCCACTAGTCTGGTTCATCCTTGGGTACAATTTCCAGATGCCTGAAGGTTCCACGTTCATATGTTCAAACAATTATACACAAGTATGAACACCATGGGAATGTCCAGCCATCATAGTGTCTCAGGCAGGAGACGGTGTGTTTTTGTGAAGTGTTTTGGTGCAAAATGTGCGTATCAACCCCAGAACAAAAGGAAAAGACTTTGTGAAGATGCTGCTGAAGCTGGTCAGAGAGTCATTATCCACAGTGAAACCAGTCCTGTACCGACATGGACTGAAAGGATACTCAGAGAGGAAGAAGAACTTTACTCTAAAAGCAACATAAAAAGCCAGATTAGAGTTGTATGCACACAGGGACAAAGACCTTCATTTCTGGAGACATGTCCTGTGGTCTGATGAAACTAAAACTGAACTCTTTGACCATAATGACCGTCGTTACATTTGGAGGAAAAAGGGGGAAGCTTGCCAGCCTGAGAACACCATCCAAACTGTGAAGCATGGGGGTGGCAGCATCATGTTGTGGGGGTGTTTTGCTGGAGGAGGGACTGGTGCACTTCACTAAATAGATGGCATCATTAGGGAAGGAACATTAAGTGGAAATATTGAAGCAACATCTCAAGACATCAGCCAGGAAGTTAAAGCTTGGGCACAAATGGGTCTTTCAGATGGACACTGACCCTAAACATACCACCAGATTAGTGACAAAGTGGCTTCAGGACAAGAAAGTCAATGTTTTGGAGTGGTCATCACAAAGCCTTGATCTCAGTCCTGTAGAAACTTTTTGGGCAGAGCTAAAAAAAAAAAAAAAGGCGTGTGGAGCAAGATGGCCAACAAACCTGACTCAGTTACATCAGTACGGTGTATGTCAACTTCTGGTCTCAGCTGTATTTGATGTTTTTAAACTATTTTATTGGTTTAATCACTCCAGCTTTGGATATTTTGCTGCTATATTAGACGACCATGGAAATAATCCAAAAGTAGTAGACAAGTCATCGTGGTCTATTTTTTTATTCTTCATTTCTTTTTTAAATATATTTTTAATCTCCTTTATTGCATGTGTTTTCCACTTTTGGTGATTTCTGCTAATCAGAAAATAATAGACAAATACAATTGGTTTATTGTTTTTTTTTTATGTTATTAATCTATTTTATTGGTTGCATTATTCCAGTTCTGAGGATTTTGTTGCTATAATAAACAAACATGGAAATAATCTGAAAATACTATGAAAGTGGTCTAGTTTATTTATTTATTTTGGATCTTTTTAATCCACTCTATTGGATTTATTATGCCAGTTTTGGGTATATGCAAGCAGTTTCCACCTGCAAACTTGGGAATCGCACTAACCTGTATGAAAGGTACTACAGTCAACACATGAATTTTAGTAATTTTTTTTTCAGTTTTAATGTGCTAAACAACTTCTATATCCCAGCCACAGAAGTCAATTTGAAGTGCATCCAATTCCTGCATGGAATTACAGCTTTAGCTCCTTATAGGCTTAGGCCTGGTGCCTGATTATTCACAAATCAAGGCATTGATTTAGGAGGCAGCATATTTAAGAGGATATTTTTTCTGAAACGGATTTGTGGGGCTCTTATGAAAATGCATTTATCCTGATAATTTATTTGGATAAATCGGCCTAACAGCTAACAACAGAATATATATATATATATTGTAATATAGCCCATTATAAGTGTGAATTGGTTTGGTTCATGATTTATTTATCAAACCATATTTCCACATATGATATGCCTGTGAAGCCAATGTGTCCTCGTTGATCTAGCCACAGATTTATTTTCTCAATGAGTCCTTCTCCTAAATAAGTTAGTTGGGATGTTCACTCCAGATGTGTCCCTCTGTGGATGAGATCACCTCATGTCTGGAGCGCAGAGCCCAGCTTTGTGCGGGCGGACCACGCCCCGGCCCCGGCGTGCCGTGCGCTAACACCAGGCTAGCTTAGCACGCTGCTACATCCGGGCGCTCCGTTCGGTTTACAAGCCCTGCGAAGATGGCGACTTCAGGGAGGAGTGCATTATTATCCTCCACCTCAACTGGACCTAAGAGCACACTGGAGAACTCAAACCCGGAGGAGGATGACGGACAGAACCTGTGGTGAGCGACGAGCGGTTAAAGCCGGGCTACCGTGCGGGGGGTTTTGTGGGGTCGCGGAGAGTGCACTGGTGCTGGGAGGGAGGATGGTTTGACAGCTAGCCTGCTAGCGCGGCTAGCTAGCATCAGCACCAGCCTGACTGGTGACACAGCGGCACTAGCTCGCTCTTAGCTTCGCTCGTTGTTTTTGTTAATGAATGAACGAGCCCGTTGCTCGGCTGTGTGGTAACGGGGCTGCTCTGTCTGCAGGTCCACCATCCTGAGCGAAGTGTCAACCCATTCAAGATCAAAGCTACCGTCGGGGAAGAATGTCCTGGTCATGGGTGGGTATCTGTCTGCAGCCTCCCCCTGCTAGCCAATAGGCAGCTGCTGATCACCTCATTCTGGGAGCTGGACTTAATTCTGCTCGGTGGCTAAGCTAGCTGGCTGCGGGCTGATGGTGCTTTTGTGTTGGTGCACATAGGGAGACAGGTGTATTTTCCGAGAACCTACACTGACTCACGGGGACGCGCACACGCACCCACACCTCCTCCTCCTCCTTCTCATCATCACATGAAACCCTGCAAGTCATTCTAGCATCCAGAGATGCTACTAGCTAGCAGAGAGATGATGGTGAGAGGACGAGACGGGGCAGCGGGCTGTGTGTTTATTGAACGGGGCCACGGGGCTTTATGTGAGGGTGCCTCCCTTGTCTCGCTCGGTGCTCGTGTCCCGCTCACGTCCAGCACACAAAACCCACTGTCCACACATCCGCCCGGGATAATCCGCAGCCTGCGACCCATTCAAGCTAATCAGCGAGCTGGTTAGCGATGTGTGCTGCAGCCCGTTTGTCTTGTTGTGCTGTCCATGACAACATCAACAAGCTCTGCTCCACAATGCGTCGAGTCCCCCTGTCGGTTTAAGGTAATATGGCACAGAGCTGGAATGGATGCAGTCTTGGCATTATGCAAAAACAATGCTGTCAGCTTTGAGTTTAGCTGAAAGGCCAGCATAAGTGTAGACACAGTAGGTTCCCAGCAGATACACAGGATGTATTGTTTCAGCTGCTCATCCTTAATTTAAACTAATCAAATGGATTGCAGTATGTATGAGCACGTATTTACTTAGAGCTGAAACAACTATAGCCTGACCTGTACTGCATTTTTAGAGTGTAAACATCCCAATATTTCTTATTGATTGACTGATTTATATACGTCTCCTTCAGACATGCGCACGTCTGACATCAGCTGAGCGTGTCGGCTGCATGTCTGAATGTGCACCCTGGTCACTTTTCCATAAAAGTTGCAACTGCAATCATACGAGGTCAGATCCAGTAACATTTCACTTTCAACATGTCTGAACTGCACCCAGTCTCGCTTAGCCAGCCCATTGTGGTGTCTAGAAAATGGTAAATGGTAGTGATAGATTGATTATCTACTTTAACGATTATTGTGGATGAGATTGTATCATTATCAGTATTGTTATTTTTATTGACTGACTGACTGTTGATCAATTAAACGCGCTAATTCAGGCCCTAATACACCCATATCGACCCCTAGTAAATGCTCTGTTATACCTCGGTGGCACTCAAAGCACTTTACCTTGTCCATCCATCCATCATCTATACACCGCTTAATCCTCATTGGGGTCGCGGGGAGTCTATCCCAGCTGACGTGGGGTGAAGGCAGGGGACACCCTGGACAGGTCACCAGTCTATCACAGGGCTACACTTAGACACATTCACACCTACGGACAATTTAGAATAACCAATTAACCTCAACATGTTTTTGGACTGTGTGGGAAGAAACCAGAGAAACCATGCTGCACATGTAAATGCTGAAAGATGCGAACCAGCGACCTTCTTGCTGCGAGGTGACGTTGCTAACCACCGAGCCAGCCTGCTTTACCTTGTCCCCCTTGCAAATCTGCCATGTAAGATGCAACATCAGGTTCAGGAAACTTTGGCATTCAAAAAGTTCAAACTTCCAACCTTGCCATTAGTGGAAAACTCGTCACTCTACCACCTGAGCCCCAGCCGCTCAGGTCAGGCTGCATTTCAATATCAGTCTGCTATAAGAGGAAAATAATCACTCTGGCTTGTTTTGTATTTCTTTAGGCTGACTCACCGGATGCAGGATGCTGCCATCAGTCGCTCATTTCAGGCGCTATCTGCATAACTTCTTCCCTGACAATTTCAAATCTTGCAGAGGATGAGTGTTGTGCAATAAGGCAGACCTGCTCGTTTTTTTTTCCAATGAATTATCCATTTTAATCAAATCTTCCTGCATGCAAATGTTCCACTAATACGTTCCACCCGTTAATATTTTGAGGAAACACTTGAGGCGCATCCTTTGCTTGCAGTGACGACTGTGATTGGTTTAAAGAAATGCAAACAAGGAATACAAAGCCAAAGCGTTTCTTCCCCCCTGTAGCAGAATGATAGTGTGGTGCGGCCAAACCACTATGTGCTACAGAACAGGTTGGCTAAGTGAGACTTTTTCTTTGAACCTATCTCAGGGTTCTTGTGAAAAGCTAAGCGAAGGATGCAGCATCAGTCTTCCCTCTAAATAGTGACAAGTGGAAATGCTTTGGTGAAACTTTTGCAACACTTGCAGGGAGACGAGCACTGTCATTAAAATTATTTATCTACCAAAAGAAAAACTAGCAGGGCTTTTAAAACTTGCTGTCCGGAAGTGGTTGTTGTCATTTCATGTAGTGAAGCGGCTTTTAAAATGGTAACATGCAGATAGGGTAAGGGGAGGACAAAGCTCTGTGAAATGAGCGGCAAATGATAGGCTTGTACTCGCAGCGTACATCCAATGAGTCACACTATTGTCACATTAATAGATTGTTATGGTGGTACTTGGAGTTATATGCAGTGATTTAAGGAAAGCTTTTTCCACATTTCAGTGCCAGTATTGGTCCAAAAACAACACAGATAGAGCAAAAGATACAGTTTTTTGTGCCAAAGCATAACAAACTTTTCTGTTCATTTTGCTGCACAATTTTAAATCTATGAGGCTGCAAACTGAAATGAACTGTTTAGTTTGTTTCCGGCTGTTTGAAGGAGTCTTTCCTCTGAGTTTATTAAATACCTCCAACAGGATCCACATGAGCTCGCTGTTAGTTTAGATTTAGCCTTTTGTTTAATGATTATTATGCATGTGCATCACTATACGAGGTGTGTCAGAAAAAAATCAGGACTAGTGTCACAAAAGATATATTTCAAATCCAAACTACAAGTTTCCCCCTTCCAAGTAATCCCCCTGGAGTCTAACACACTTTCCCAGCCTCCGTCGTCAGCCATCTTGATGTGGTCCACGTCTTCAAAACGGGTCCCCTTGATGACCCCCTTGAGCTTGGAGAAGAGGAAAAAATCCCACAGAGCCAGGTGGGGTGAGTAGGGAGGTTTCTCCAGCATGGCCATGTGTATTATGGGAAAACTTGTCGTTTGTAGTTTGGGTTTGAAATATATCTTTTGTGACACCAGCCCTGGAACTTTTCTGACACACCTCGTATCGACTGTCCAGTCTTGCGTGAATGACAAGTATTGTTCGCGTACTGTGGCTGTCTTCATCACTGAGGTGTGTACGTCTGAATGAAGCCGTGAGGAACATGTCTGAAAGCTGTCACTGTAAGAGATGTGATGAAACCAGTAATGTTACGCATCCCGTGTCTGAAAAGGTCTTTGAGAAGGGACACAATGATGTCATTGTTTATGAACTATACAGCAGTGTATTTCACAAACTAGTTAGCAGCTTATCTTTAAGATGTCGATCGACTTTGCACCACTCAGCTGTGGTACTTACTCTGCTACATGTGCTGCACAGTGTTGACAACACGGAGTCGGCGTTGACCTGCTGTACAAATTGTGTGATTTCTAAATAACCCAAAGCACTTTTTTTCTGCTTTTATGTTCTGTAGGAAAAATGTTTTCATATCAGACACATACGCTAACGGCGATCTATCTGTGACTGGCCGATATCAGCCGATCGTATCGATCAACCCGTATATCTGTTGGGGTCAAGAAACAACTAGTTCTTTTTCTTTCAACTATTCTGCTCGTCCATTTAAGTGTATACGTCATTTTCAAACTAAAGTGTCGACATTTCCAGCCTTTCAGTTGCAAGCAGCTAATGCTTTTTTATTTTGTCTTATGTGACAAGGAACTGAATATCTTTGGGTCTTAGGTCATTCGTTAGACAAAACAACCTCTTTTAAAACGCCTCCTTTAGCTTTAGGAAATCGTATTAGCTGTGAATCATATGCAGCTCTAAATAAATTGTACACCGTCAGCAATTCCAGCGTTGGTTGGCCTCGGTTCGTTTGCCACTTGACATGCTTTCCCCTAATTTTAGTTTACTGTTGTTTAAACTTAACTTTTGCTTTAAATGTCAAACTGCAATTGTTATGTTTTTGTTTTTATGAATTGTCGTGAAGGCGACAAGGAGAATGCATTGTTTACCACCTATATTTACTGCATGTTATGTACTGATTTTGTGTGTGTGTTCAGGTGAGGTTGGCTCGGGGAAGACCACCTTGGTTGCAAAGATGCAGGGGGTTGAAGAATACATGAAAGGGCGTGGCCTGGAATACCTCTACTTCAGAGTCTACGACGATGACATTGATGGTAACCAGCTACTTCCTGCATTTCTTAAAATAAATTACAGAGCTTCTCTTTTGCGGAGTATTTTTGAACAAAACACGTCAGTATTCAGCATTAATGCAGCACTGGGCTTCACTGGAATGTGTATTTATTCTGACCTATTTTGTGTGTCTGTGTGTTTAGATCACACTAGATGTAATGCTTGGGTGTTAGACGGAGACCTTTACCATAAAGGTCTGCAGGGAGTAGCTGTACCAGTGGACTCCATCGACAGCACGTTGCTGCTGATAACGGTTGACATGTCGCGGCCGTGGAACGCCCTGGACTCTCTTCAGAAGTGGGCCGCCGTTGCTAGGGAACACATCGACAAACTCCGAGTCGCCCCGGAAAAGCTGCGGGAGCTGGAGCACAGACGTGAGTCATACTGGCAGTAATCAGACGTACTCGTAGATAAATCTTTTTTTTTTTTTTTTTCCCACCTCACAAAAATGCTCGTAGAGATATGAAAGCATTACTCAGATAAGGATTGTCTTAATCAATGATCACACAGTATGTATTATAAAACATTGGACCCAGCTATGAGAACGATGACGCCACAAGTTTGTAATTGCAACCTCTTCAAGGTCTTACTTTCTTGACTTTGTCTGTGCGTGTATGCGTGTAGTTGTAAAACAGTTTCAAGAGTACACAGAGCCGGGCAGTGGGGAGGATGGCACACCGCAGAGGAGGAGTGAAGAGGAAGAAAGCGTGCTGCTGCCGTTAGGGGACAACACACTTACGCACAACCTGGGAATACCAATGGTGGTCGTCTGCACTAAGGTACACACACACACACACACACTCACACACTCTCTCTCTCTCTACTGGGCTATGCATGAACATATTTTACTTTTATTTTCAAATCTATGTCTCCTCTTTATGTCGCAGAAGTATCATTATTCTGTGATTTATGAAAAATGTGTTACTCCAATATTATGGCCTTGCAGAAGCTGCTTTTTTTTTTTTTTTGGGAGGGGCAGAGAAAGATTTCAGGTCATAGCAACACAGTGCTGATTTAATGCAACTCCTCACAAACACTCACCTCTGACACCTGCTTATCTGTCCTCAGTGTGATGCTATCAGCACATTGGAGAAGGAGCACGACTACAGAGACGAACACCTGGACTTCATCCAGTCCCACATCAGACGTTTTTGTCTGCAGTGTATCCTTCAGCGAACACAGCGCTGTCTCTTAGACCTTGACTTTGGCCGGAGCAAAGCTTAAACGCTGCTTAAGGTTGTACTGTCACAGAGAACAAAATGGAGATACGGTACATCTGCAGGGATGTAATGGGGCTGCTGATGTGTTTCAGCTGTCCGGTGATGAAGGACGGTGATGCAGCTGAGCGACTGGCATTACAAGGTGTTTTGTTTTCACACCGAAGCTGGAGTTTCCTGCTGCATCAGTGTTGACTGGGCCGCTGAAAGCCGTTGGACTATTGTTGCTTTGCTGCAAAGCGAGTTCAATCTAAGGCCTAGATTACCCAGTCCTACCTCAAATTGTTTGCTTTTCAGCATCATTTTCTCCAGTCAATGCTGAGTGGAAACTGTATTGCATTTTCGATGGTTATTGTGTTTAAATTGAGCCAACTTGGGGCACCGTCTTAGTTCTTCTGTGTACTGCTGGCAATTGGTTACAGCTGGAATCCTCTTTTCTGTAGTTCTGCTGTTATTAAAAAATGTGGTTTTTGTTAGGGGTGGGAATTTAACGCGTTAATTATAATTAATTAATTACAACAAAAATAACGCGTTCAAAAAATTTGTCACTATCCAGGACTGCTAGCGCTAACAGGCTTCTGTGCTCGCTTCAACATGCTTTGCATTCAGGTGGTACCGTTAGCTTGATGTGATTCGGTGGGATGCAAATTCTTTTTTGCACAAGTTGCACAAAACCACGCTCCTGTCAATGTTTCCGTCAGGCAGTTTTTTTAAAAATGAAACTTACCCTTTATCAGTCCAAGCAATGCACTCTCATCGGATTCCTCCATGTTTGTTGTTGTTAGCGTAGCGCTGACGCATCTTGTGCATCAGTGTGATCTGTGGACCATGAAGTTGGGCACCGACAAACGTTCTGTGTTGCCTGGATGCAAACTGCGGTTAAATGCGTTAATTTTTTTTTACGCGTTATTTTTGTTGTAATTAATTAATCGTAATAAACGCTTTAACATATATTAGGGGTGGGACTTGAACATGTTATTTTCACGTTAACGCGTTAAAGTCCCACTCCTAGTTTTTTTTTATTTATTTATTTTTTTTGTCACTGTGATGTTAGTTTCTTCACTGTTTTTGTATTTAGAAATTGCATTGTTGGAAATATCCTTGACGGCCGTGTCAGATGGCGCCTCTCTGCTTTATACATCAGTGAAGGAGATTAAGAACCTGGACATTTTGTATAAGTATCTGGTGCACAGACTCTACGGCTTCCCCTTTCACTGCCCCGCACAAGTGGTGGAAAGAGATGCTGTTTTCATGTAAGTCTAGTAGCGTGTGTGTGTGTGTGTGTGTGTGTGTGTGTGTCCTTGAGACTGTAGGACCACTTGTATTTGTTTTGTAACCCTCTCTGTCCTCTACCAGCCCGTCAGGTTGGGACAATGAGAAAAAGATCGCCATACTTCACGAGAACTTCCAGACAGTAAAAGCAGAAGACAGCTTTGAGGAAGTAATAGTCAAGCCGCCGGTCAGAAAGGTACAAGCTCCCATTAAAAATCCCCAACTTACAAAGATCCTCTTAGGCAAGCTAGTTTCACTACCTCTATAATGCATTACCTTATATACCATTTTTACAGTTCACAGCCGTTACACTGAGACTTTTATCCAATCGAAAGTATTAATTGCTTGAGAGTTATAAGAAAAACCCAGAAGCCAAAAAAAAAGGACATTTTCATAATGTATTCCATTTTTTTTTCTCTAGATTGTACATGAAAAGGAGATTCAAGCAGAGGATGACCAAGTGTTTCTGGTAAAACTGCAGGTCAGAAAACATTTCACTTGTGTTAATGCCAGTTTGTTTGCTGCGTGTGGGTATGCAAATTAAATCGGACTTGAGGGCCTTGATATGTTAATTAAATACTAATTGGAGTGAGTGTGCATATTGTGCTCTAATTTGCAGTCGCTGCTCGCCAAACAGCCCGCTGTGACAGCAGGGCGACCAGTGGTGAGCGCGCCTTTCTCCTCAATTTTGGCTCACGAGATAAAGTAAACCTCCCTCCGCTGTCCGTATGCCTGACATGAACTGTCGTTGTTGTTCGTAGGACACCACTAGCAGAGCACCAACAGGCTCCCCGAGGACGAGTAATCGCTCTGCGGCGGCGAATGTAGCCAACGCCATGCCTCAGTCGGGTACGGCAGGAGTTTCATCACCTCGCACGGCCGCTTGTGTACATTTCGGTGTTATTGCACTGCTGTTTGTGCTTCTTCTTTTTTTTTTTTAAACACTTGTCTCATAATGCTGCAGGTCAGACCAGTGAGGGTGTGCTGGCCAACTTCTTCAACAGTCTACTGACAAAGAAGGCGGGGACAGGAGGGCCGGGGACACCAGGTGGCGGTAACAATACTCCAGGAACTGTACGGAAGTCAGGTGAGAGCGCTCGCTTTGTTGTTACACCTGTTTTTAACATTTTTTTTATATGATACAAAAAGTGTCATAGTTAACCTAAATCCCATCTGTAGTCACGCCTCATCACTCAAGCTTGTATATGATTTTTACCTTCCATTTGCCATCCTGCCTCTTTACTCCCCTGTCCTCCACTCCAGACACAAACACAACCACACCAACACACAACCGTCACCGTCATCTCTATGCCTGTTTGTAGCGAATGTCTTCTCCTTCTTAACTACGCTCACAGTCTGTTTTGTGCAATCTCACTGTCAACATCATCCACAATGTGTGTGTGTGTGCGCTAGTCAGAGGATGCTGGCCACGTTAAGGTGTGTGTGAGCAACATATTTCTCATGTATTACTGCTTGCGTATGACACTCTCACAAGCACCCCGTTATTGTTTTTGACCCCTCTTCCCCAAACCTCCAACTTTCTCCAGCATCCAACGAGGAGCACAGCTGGGATCAAGCCTCCTGTATCACCCATTTACTTCTCGCACAAAAGCACATCAGCTGGGCTTCATGGACTTTATGTTAATTTATTCATATATGCTATATGCAGATTATTTAAGTCCGTCCAAGCTGAGAACTAAAGCAGCGGTCCAGGAGATGATCCCGTGGCTATTTAATTACTTTTTTTTGCGCCACATGCCTTAATTTTGCTTTCAGAAAGACGGTTGGTCTCATTAACATCAAATCACAATAATAAGCAATGAGGATTTACAACTCAAATGTGGTTGAGTGGTGTTGTAAAACAGGAAAGCTCAGGCATTTTCTTTACGACAAGCTGATTGGATTGAGCTCATATATAATGGAATAGGCGCACAGACTTCCTATTAATGGCCGGGTGCACAACCATGTAAATATCTAAAGCAGAAAGACAAAGATGATTCCTTTAATGACAGCTGCATCTCAGTTTGTTTCCGTTCTTACACCCTGTCCCCACTATTACTCCCCTACATTTTTTGTCCAATTCTAATTTGTATGATTTATTTCTTTTTTGCATGTTGCATCGCATTTCTCATCTCTAACATCCGTCACAATCAATGCACATGATTCTAACTAAGGCTGGGAAATCTGAAAAAATTCTAAATCTCCTGTAGATGTGAAACTTTTAGCATCTTAGCTATGTACGATAGACAGTATGTGCCAATATGCATGCATTTCCTGGGAAATTAGCAAAACCAAGGCAGAGATTTTGAGCTAGTTGTGTCCCACAGAAGTCTGTAATAGAACCCAATATGTACAACATGGAGATATTAATTATATTGTTGCATAGTAACTGCCATAAAAATGTACCACTATTGCATTAAAGAAAATTTCAAAATAAAAGTACAGTTTACATGTGTCGTGTAGTAAGAATTAAAATGCATTTATGTAAATATACATTCATCCCTGTCTTCAAAATAAGAATGAAACATAGTCTAAATGGTATTATTGTTGTAGAAGTAAGTCTGGATGTAAACTAATTCTGACATATCTAAACCATTAACCATCATTCATGGGGATTTACTGAAAAGAGTCCTCTCAAAGTTCAATCAAAGCCTCCTTTATATCACAGTGTGGCTTCCTCCCTCTCATAGTTCTCAGCCTATCCTTGCTAGTGGCGGCTGCTCTTATCCTGAGAACCAGCAGCTCCTCCACTTACAAATGAGTACAGACACAATGAGACCACTGACACAAGTGCAGTCATTTCATTGTAGGAAAAAAAAATAACAGCCTGATTAACAATCCTGTTAATATTCATATCCATCCATGGTAAATATTACCCACCCAGCTCTTATTTTAACCATGTGCACTTGCCTTTGTGCTTATGGCATTGTGAAGCTGCACTTGTATTTCTTGCACTAGCTAAGCAGCTTTGTTTGTCAGTTTGTTTTTTTTTGCCTGGATGCAGTGCTAATTTATTTGTATGGTTTCTACCAACGCCTGATTCAGGTTCGAAGCTGGGCCTGAGCGACGTCCAGGCGGAGCTGGACCGCATATCCAGCCGGGAGACTGACTCAGACTTGCCCAATGCCAACGACGCCCCTGCCACCGACGGCCAGGACACATGAAGACCAACACGCTTCGCCCTGCTCTCCTCCTCCCCCCCCACCTCCCCGCTCCACCTCAGTCACCGTCCACCTCCCTTCATCCCTCCACTCTCACCCTCCACTTCATCATAAAGATGCAGGGGAAAGGGAGGGGGTGGACGTAAAGTTTTTTTTCCCCCACCCCTTCACCATCGTCTTTCACTTTCTCCTCCAGGAGAAGAACTCTCCCTCTCTTCCCTTATGCCTTCACCCGCACCTCGATCCCACCCACCCTTCTTTTTCTTCCCGGCTGTTCCACCGAGGACAAGTATTTGTCACTGTTACATACAAGAGACTGTCTGTTACATGAGAGTATGTGGGTAAAGGGGATGGGGGAGGACTTATTGGGAGGGCGGGGGGGAGGTTGAAGGTTGGGATGAGAAGAAGCGAAAGGTGGGTCGATTGCAAGAATGAAAGCGAGGGTGTTTTATCCATCCATTTATTGTGATGGTACAGTTAGCGTTTTTACTGTAGGAAATGCTGAGGGCGCATGTTGAAGAAGCTGCACTTAGGTAACGTAGGGATGACTGTGTGTGATTGTGCGTTTAATATATGCGGGGCAAGTCGCGCTTGACCAGAGGATGAGATTTGAGAACAAAAAAAAAAAAGAAAAAAATGCCTGAAACAAAAATTGCAAACAGTCTTGTTTTTTTTTTTAAGATGAAGGAAAAACAGTATTTGTGTGTGTGTGTGTGTGTGTGTGTGTTTGCGTGTGTGTGTGTGGACAAGAGCGCAAGAGTGAGGCAGACAGAATATTAAGGAAGTTATTCCAACCGAGACCTGTTTGTTGAGAGATTTTTGGCTGTTTGCATTTCAACCAAATGTCAAAAAAACAAAAACAAAAAAGACATTACTATGCTCTTACACTACAAAACTCACTTGGAACTCTTAAAACAGTGCAAACTGTAATTACACGAACCAAATGTGATTAAAAGTATGCTACAAAATCGAAACTTCACACTTGTGCGCGTAGGTGCATCATGATACCCGGTTCTGCGATTGGCCAAACCGCCCCTCGAGGTGCTACGTACAGTACAAACCTGTAGATAACTGACACTGAAAAAGGGAGGGTTGTTAGAGGGTGGGTGGGTAGCTGAGCTTTACTTGTACAGAAAGAAGCACTAGTGATTCCATAGTTACTGCTGGCAGGGTGGTAGTTGAAGGGAGGGGGGGGGAGAAAGGGGGTCAGAACATGGGAGGGTCACATCAAGAATGTACAGTCATTGTCTAGCTGATTGGTCCTGTTATTTCAGAGCTCTGTGTTGGCGTTTGTATAATCAGATCTGTCAATCAGTCAAATAAAAGGTGTATTTATTCGGATTCATCTACCTGGCTTCTCTGCTTTTTTTCCTTCCCCCCCCATCTGTTTCCACGCTCTGAATAAAAATGTTGATTTTATGACGGAGATTTATTATGAAGGACGCAAACAGCTTACAGGTGAAGTTCCAGGTGGTCGACCCCCAACTGCTGCAAAGACCTTGAGCAAGAATACAGAATTTTGAAACACTTTTGAAGGAATGAAAATATTGGTTGTAGCTTCTGGCGCACACAAGTTTCGAAAATGAGAAAAATGGAGTGGTTGGAATATATAACAAGCAGCACTATTAGCAGACACTATTCTGAGCACAGTGCTCTTCATCAGGCTGAAACAAAAGGGTAATGGAGTATCAGTGGGTTGACAAAGTGAGAGAATCCTATTAAAATACATTTGTTCTGCACACAGAGCTGATGCCTGTTGAATCTATCATTTCCATTTTGATTTGTGAAATGTTTTTAGCGAACGACTTAAAAAAAAATGTATGAGCCTCGCCAGCTACTTATTTACTCTGTGATTGTTGCTTTGACCACATGCGGAGGCACAATCACAAATAGTTTTTAGTCAATTCAAAGAAAACCTTGCATCTGGGGATCCGTGTATCACATCACACAGAGTCATTTAAATGAGAGGTTATCACTGGCTACATTATTTTACACCGGGTAATGAAAATTGTCACTAAACTTACTTTAAAGCACCGTTCTGTAGCAGGTAAATCCAATAGATCATTATCATCACATGACCAGAATGATGCATGGCTGATATAAACCCCTGAATTCTGGCAAACAAATGAATTCAAGCATAGGAAAGGGTGGCTGTTTCAATTCAGTAAAGAAAGCCAGGCATACACTGATAGAAGTTCCTGGTTGCCATTCCAATGCTCTGCTCATATCTTGCAGATGTCGCTGTCTTTTATATTATTTCTTCCATATGCTGTATCCTTGCAATCATTACTAACGACACAGTGGGTGCACTTCCTATGGTTTTATTGCAAGACTCCGATGTGAGCGCCACATACCGACACGATAAAGTGGAATATAACGCGAATGCACAAGCGGTGGCTGGAATAAATGTCATCATCCTATGCTGGTTTATTTTAAGAAATGTGTGAAAGAATATATTGCCACATTTCCATTCACTCTGGCTGCATGTCGTCTGTCCTCACTCTGGTATTATTTACACCCCTTAAAGACATGTGAATGAATATCTTTTTATTGCCTTATCACAAGCTTCTGTCACTTCAGAGAGCTGATAGAAACACTTTCACTGATCATTGCGGTTGTCTTTTCCATTTCCTGCTTCAACAACAATGTGCTTTTCAGTGACACTTTGGACTTTGACCTTCTCTGGCCTGGCAGCATGTATCACACTCGTGCACTATAGTATGCACGGCAATCTCTCTTTTGACTGTGTTCATTTAAGTGTGTGTTGTTTTCACACATCTATAATAGGCCAAATTGAACTTTCAATTAGGTAACACGCAAATTGTCCTGACATTTATGTTTGTTCTGCTTCAGAGAGCTGATTTAACTGTACTATCGCCAATTACACTGCAAGTAGCCTATAAATAATTTCCCTAAACTATTTCATACATTTTCAAGTATCAACATGCACATTTCTCCTTTTTAATCGTATATGCACACTACACATAGGACTGAGTTTTACTGTCAAGATCACTGTATGTCCTGGGATGAAGTTATGGGTTTCTGTAGAAAACTTCAACTTACATGGTTTCATTTAGTAATGACCTTAGTTTGTGTACTTTGTTTTTCACTCTTCCATTAACTCCTGCAGCTCATCATTTGCCAAATGAGTTCCAACTTAACTGTGTGCAGGTGCCTGAATTGCAAGCCCACATGCTTGCTGACTTAATTCAATAAGCGAAATGAATGAATGGGATTGCTGTTAGGAGAAATGTTTGTGTCTCTCAATTAACTGCATGTTAATTGAACCCCTCTGTCATGTCACAGCAGCTCATGAATCTCATTCCTTCCTAATGGAAGCACCTCGCCCTCCCCACCACTACACCACCACCACTATCACTTTCATTCAAGTTGCTGGAAAACCTCAGACCTGAAATGATCGACTGCTCTCAAAATGAGAAAAGATGTCACGTTTTTGCCCAGAACTGTAATATAATAGTCTTCATGCTAAAACTTTGTTTGAAAAATGACGCCCTACTTTTCCTAGTGCGGCAGAATACTGTATTTTCTCCTTTCGCCATCTTGATGTTCGATCGCACAGGCGGAAGCAACATCTTCGGCGGAGCAACAGCGGGTGTGGTTCGGACTTCTACGGGTGGTTCACCTAGCAGCCCTTCTCCTGTTTTCAGCTCAGATAAAGGGGAAATTTTTCCTGACAAGAACCACGGAGGAGCCGCTCGACTCTGGTAAATATAGTATGTTTGGCACATCTATTATTCGGCGTCTTTACAGCGCGTCAATGCCTGGTTCTCCAAAGAAAATCATCTTTGGCTAGGGAGGGGGCTCCGGTGGGGTTTTCTGATTTGGCTGGCAGCACAGCAGGTTTTGTACGGTGGCGCTTGGATCTACTTTTCATACGTCCTGGCTAGCTAAGCTAATCAAACCAGAATTAAACATTTCAGGAGTGTGCTTGAAAGTCACGGTTCCCACAATGAACTTGTTTGCGAAAATGACGACTTCTAACATTAGCTGCGTCTTAAGACAAGTCATTCTCATTTTTAGTTTGTGGCCGAATCCCTACACACTGTTTGTTTATGTTAGCTAGTTAGCTAACTAGCGGAGAGGTTAGCTACGCACGTTAGGTTAGCTTAGCGAGCGTTCAAGGTAAGCTAGCCAACCTGTTAGCTAGCAGGGGTGGCTAATACATGCTAGCGCCTCGGTCTGGAATTTGATGCGAATGAATTATATATGGTGATTGATGTAACCTGTACAGTTAGCTGTGGTTTTCGTTTAGTTTTGATGAGGCGGCTTGTTAGGCTCGTACTTAGACCCACCATGAGAGGAGGAGTCATGGAAGTGATTGCGGGGCGGAGGGGGTAGTTTCTCTCATTGGAAACCCAAGCTGCGAGGTCGGAACTTGGCCGTGGTAGGGGGAGGGGGAGAAATATGCCTTTGATGTTCTTTGCCGCTGAATGGTGAATTGTGTTCGTGCTGGCCTGGAAATACCCACCGCTTTGCTCTCTCGGCTGGAGGTGGAGGCTCGGCATTTCCCCTCATAGCTACGTTAGCAAGCCAAACAAGCGTCTGAATCACTAGGAGCTGGCACAGGTAGCGCAGAAGACAGCGGTTTTATTATTGAGACCACGTAGGAGAAACGCATAAACATCACGGCTGGGTTTTGCTTGGCCAAACAAGAAATTAGTTGGAGTGTGAGTTGTCTTATTTTCCCCTGTGTACCTATTTCCTTCTACAGACACATCTGCTGAGGGCAGGCAAGAACAATGGCTACCCAGTGTGAGTATGGAAAACGATTAATTTTCATATAAATGAGTTTTATTCATATTGTCTTTTATATTCACATGTAAGAGTTTAGCTGTACATATGCAAATAAATGAGGTAATGCCAGCATTGAGGCAAGGTGGAGACTGGGGAAAAATGGGAGCCAGGTGAGCACATGTCACAGTATCCCAAGTGATTACACTTTGGTTTTTGTTACATCTGAGTTTCTCCTTTAGCAAATAAATGTGTCGAACTTCTTATGTTTGCGAAGTTCAGTTTCTGATTAGCTCCTGTTTTTTTTTTTTCCAGACATAAGATTACAGATGTTTTCTTTGAAGTTTTGTTCCAGTTGCATTTTTATTTTGTCCGTTCCTTTTTTTTTCCCCCTACATCTCCCACAAATCCGATTATTGAAACTTTTATTGTTGCTCATAAAAATTGCATCTAACTTAAATTGAGAGGTTAAGCTAAAACGAGTGGAGTGAAGATAATTCTTCTCCTAGTGTGGCCTTCCTTGTGGTTCACCTTTGTGCTCTTTTTGTGTAGCTGATTTGATGGAGTTGGACATGGCCATGGGTGACAGCAAGGCTGCTGTGAGCCAGTGGCAGCAGCAGTCCTATCTGGATTCAGGCATCCAGTCTGGTGTCACCACCACAGCACCATCTCTGAGTGGCAAGGGTAACCCTGATGCTGAGGAGGAGGATCCAACTCTGTATGACTGGGAGTTCAACCAACCCTTCACTCCTGAGGCTACAGGTAAAGAAAACTGGTACTCGTGTTTTGGTGTCTGTTTTCTGGCTCATCTAATGAAATAGGAACCTGTAAAAAATACTCGGAATTAGTCACAATCACAATGTTGTTTCTGTATTGCTGTAAAGCAGTCCTAATTGAAGATGATTAAAATGGCTACTATAGAAGAATGGTTTAATGAAATAGTAAATTACTTTAGTTGCTTGATATTTATCATCATTTTGTATTTGTTTTAGACATTGAGGGTTATGCCATGACCCGGGCCCAGCGTGTTCGCGCTGCCATGTTCCCAGAAACCTTGGAGGAAGGCATCCAGATCCCACCTACTCAGCTGGATGCAGCCCACCCAACAGCTGTGCAGCGTCTGGCAGAACCCTCTCAGATGCTGAAGCATGCTGTGGTCAACCTCATTAACTATCAAGATGATGCTGAGCTGGCCACTCGTGCCATCCCTGAGCTCACCAAACTGCTCAATGATGAGGACCAGGTACATGTGTAGATAAGCAAATTATCACCTGAATATACTCAAATACCAAAATGGTATCAGCTGAGTAACTTTTGGTATAATGTCATTTAGTTTACATCCCTTCTGAGACCATTCATCCCTGACAAACATTTCTTTCTTAGGTTGTTGTGAATAAAGCAGCTGTAATGGTGCATCAGTTGTCAAAGAAGGAGGCATCGCGCCATGCCCTGATGCGTTCACCACAAATGGTTTCGGCAGTTGTTCGTGCCATGCAAAACACTGGCGATGTGGAGACTGCTCGTTGCTCTGCTGGCACTTTGCACAACCTCTCCCACCATCGCGAGGGTCTCCTTGCAATCTTCAAGTCTGGAGGCA